TTTTGTAAGAGACAAGGAGGGCTCATAGCCAACTGGCCCTGCTGAGCTCTGAGCTGGGCAGCACCTGGATCCCCAGTAACTCTTGGAAAAAAAGAGCTTGCTTTCTTGTAGGGAAGAAGTTTACCTGAGGTTCTCCTTCCACAAAGATCAGACCATCTTAAAGAGGTAGGATCTTGCCTCTAATGCAATTGTTTGGTTGTTTCATCTACTTGTATGAGAGGTAGTACCCCAGAGGGAGATGGAAAATACTGCTTTGCACAAAATCAAGATGCTGAACCAGCTGCTTTATGCAGAGAACTGGAGAAGGCTCAAACTCCTTCAGAGCAGGTAGATGAGTTAGGGCATGGGAGTCCCTGCCTCTCAAAACAGGAGGCTGCTGCTGGGAGGGAAGCAGTCACTCCCAACTGCCAGTCCTCACTGATTTTCAGCATGTCAGGAGACCAGAGCCTGTGCTCCTCTCAGAGGTATGATCTATTTAATCCACTGTTTTGCAGCATCTTGTTTCAGAGAGGGACAGAGGCTTGCTAGTTCCTGTTGAAGTCCAAACCATTTCCTCAGTTTGATGTGGTGGTTATCAGTATGGCCAATGGAGGTGGGTTGACCTTGTCTGGAAGCTAAGCCCCTACCCAGTCTTTTGTTCACTTCCCCGCAGTGGGATGGGAGAGAGAAGCAGAAGGGCAAAAGTGAGAAAAAACACATGGGTTGAGGTAAAGACAGCTTAGAAAGAGAAGAGAAGAGAAGAGAAAAAAAAAAAAAAAAAAAAAAAACAAAATTGAAAAATACCAAAAATCAAGTGATGCATAGGCAATCACTCACCCAGTACAGCAATTTAGTATCAGATGCAGTGGCTGCAGGAACTGATAAGTGCTGCACCCAACCTCCTAATTGTGTGCAAAGAGAATTTCCTTCTCCAAAAGCCCCCCACTGTCACTGTATTTCCTTACACAGGGACTGTGCTCAGACTTGTACAGGCCATGTGAAGTTTACTGTAGAGGTTGATCCTGTTGAGCAATTGTAGCCACAGCTCCCTCAGTTGTTTGTTGAACAAGGAGACACTCTGGTTACAAGATCACAACTATTGGCCCTGTTTTACGATTCTGATGAGCATTAATGGAACAAGGTTTGGTGACTGAAGGAGAAAATGGAATATGAAAAGGAAAATGAAAAGAGGCTGTGAGGAAACCATGTCATTTCTAAATGAATGCTCTGTGCAGAGGAATTGAATCTTTTCACAGCTGAAAATGGATCTTAAATCTGATGCCTTAGCTTGTTTCAGCTTCTGTAATGAAATAGAGATTTCCTAATACCCTGTGACCTGAATTTCTCCCTGCTTTATGGGTGCTATTCCTTGACGTACAAACCTGTATTTTCTCAAGTCAGCATTTGATGATGGATGTCAAAATACAGGTCATGTATTATGCATATAGCATTACCGATTTAAGGTGTTTACTTGTCAAGTTGAAGAAATTCAGAAATGTCACAGTCACTGAATCTGCACAGCTGTCACTTGTAGTTTTTCATGCCTTTAAATGAAAGTTCTGATAAAGCAGGTTAGTTTTCGGGCACTTTTTTTTCTTTCCTCTCTTCTGGAGGAAAAAAATAGAGAGCCTATGTATAGAATTTATGTTGTGAGTTGGACGCAGGACTGTGGCCTGAAGGTATACGAAGCCTCATGACTCCAAACATAGGCACACAAAACTCCCAAGTACTCCAATTTTCCTTTTCATGAAAATATTCCAAGATTTTTATATTTTTAACAAGTGTATTTGTAGCGGTGTCTGAATTAAGCACAGGCAAGGAAATTGAGTTAAAATAGCAGGTATTTCTCACATCTTTTGACCACAGGACAAAAAATATTAAGGCATGAGTCTGTGTTTCATTCAAGGAGAAAACAAAATCCCTTTAACATGTTTCCTGCATTTCATACTGAATGCACTGTGTGTTCAGTGTGCAATTACAGAGCTCCTGACAGTCCATGTCTAACAGAAATGCCACATTTATTTCAATCTTCTAACACCATCCTAGGAAGACAAATATTTGAAGGGTTAGTGAGATGTAGTTACGAATATCCTTCGATGGAGAGTTTGTGTGTGCATGCCTCTGTGTGTGCACATTGCAGTAGAGGGAGGGCAAGAAGGACTTACACATTTAGACGCAGTTATGCCAACTTTCTTCAATTTTCTTTTAGCTAGTAGGAAAATACTGATGTGCTCTTGCCATCTGAAGAGCATGATTCACTAAAAGATATTTTAGGGAGTGCATCCTGAGATGGGGAGAGAAAAGCCTTCAGGAAAAAGAGAGAAGCAGGGCCTCTAGGGATACTCCTAGCAGTACAACCTCTAGGGTGCATGGGAACAAGATTAGTTTTCTTTGCTCTCAGATAAGTGAATGTATCTTGCTGCTGCCATTTTGACTTGTAATTCTGCAGAGGACCCAACTGGACCTGCCATTTTAACTGCTCAAGGAGTCTACAGCTACTTCAGCTTTTTGTAATGTACTGTGACAAAAGACGTCTTGCCTTTCCTGTAGCATAACAGAATGTAAAGCTTAAACAACAGAGCCTGCTGCAGAAGGAGGTGTCACACTAATACTCACCTGTCCTCAGATAGCATTCCCTCCCTTTGGAGTCCCACTTTAATTTTCCAGCTCTTGTGAGAATGTTAGGGTTACCTCTAACTCACAAGGTGGTGCCTGAAGGAACTCAGTTAGACTCACTTTGTGAGTCTGAGAAATCCTAGTCTCTGCTGTGCAGAAGTAAGCATTTGAAGAGCCAATACAGCTATCAGTCACATGGCCAGATGCAAGGAAACATCTGCAAACTGATACCAGTTGGGAATGCAACTCACTGTCACCATGCCAGTCTTACTGAATTAGTTTCAGAACAATGAGTAGTATTAAATGACCGACTGATAACATTGCCAACATTTCCAATTGTTGTTAAGAAATCTGCTTTCTAAAGATTTTCTATGCACTGGTAACATCAAATAGAATTGCCTCACTGTCTTAGGTTTGCCTGTGGCGGTGCTTTTGTCTTGCAAGCCAGTTGAAGATACCACATTCACTTCTTTTGTCCTAAAAAATTTCTTCACAGACTTTTCATTCCCTATTTACTTATCCAGTCCTTACAGTCCTCATGTTGTATCTAGCTTTCATATAATAGAAGGAAATTCATACTGCTACCTTCTGGAGGGCTAAGTAAGACTCTCTTCTCGGTGATTCTAGTTTTATTAGCTATATATTCTATATGTGATATAGACAAAACATGGGGAGAAATGAACCGAATATCAAATAAAAATTTAAATCCCACTGAGTCAAGAACTCCAGATCTAGTAGTCCTTCTAGTTTGTGTTGTTTAGACACGGTTTAAGAGTAATGGTAATTAACACTGGAAAAGAAGCATAAATTCCTCATACAATATGAAGCCAATACCACATGTTAACATCCCCAAACTAGAGGAAGGTAAAGTAGATAATATCATATCATCATTCATCTGCTACTGAATTCAGAGGAAGTGTCAATGAATTTAATGCAGTGAAACACTTTCCACACTGCAAGAAAATAATGATGTCATGTCAGGAATTAATTTGGATGTGATTAATTTAGAATCTATATATGGAGAATTCAAAACTAGTTCAGACCAGTAATGACAGAGGATCAAAAGACTGTCCCTGGATGTCAGGTGTGAAGTCACTCAGGCATAATATGGCAAAAGAATGAATGTTTCCTCATAAATGTATGTTTTAAAGTCAGCTTGGTTCAACCAAGTATTTTCTTAAAAATGCTGCCTTAACATTGGTCTACATAAAACCCTAAAGTCAAACTCAGACTTCACCATCACTTTGCAATAATGACATTAAATGAACATTACCATGTTTTCCATGGCTTTAATGGACAAGGGAGGTGGAATGCATTAGTCTCAACTGTGAAATTTCACTCCAACTGTTGCATGAGCTTTTGTATAACTGCCTGTTTTTCAGTACTTACAATCAAACTCCAAAAGGCTTTGCCTGGGTATTTTTTATTAAAAAAAAAAAAAAAAAAAATGTTCAGTGTCAAGAGCTCCATTTCAAACTGTGCAGACAATCAGTCTGAAAACACAATTTTTTTTAGATGTGAACCTTGCTGCTCTCCAGATCTCTTTTTTTTTCTTTGAGTTCCTGCCAATATGTTTCCTCTCCCACCTTTGTTTCCTTTACAACCCCAAAGGTATAAAACTCTTTCTACTCTCTTTTCAAACATTCCCCTTATGTACCGTTTGAAAACCTGTGGGCTTTTTTTCCTTCCATCTTTTTTTTTCCATTACAATGGGCCTTTCCACGCCAGTATTCCTATAATAGTAATCCTCATAAAAATGCATATTATAAATGATACACCTGAAAAAAAAAAAAAAACAACAAAAAAAACACAACAACTTTGTGTGGGTTGTATTACTCCTGGAAAACAGCTACAAAATTTTAGATACAGCATGCTGCATGTTGATCAAACCTAAAACATGCTAATGGAAGCAATTTGTTCCTTGTGGTTGTACCACTGTTTACAAACAGTATTCTTTAACATGTTAATTGAGGTTTAAAGAAAGGTGTTTGTTTCAGGTTTATTTGAAATGCTAAAAGGACAAAGTTAAACCTCTCTAACAGTGAATTCTCTGGTTTTTTTATTTGTATTTAAGTAAGCATTACTCTTTCCATTTTACATGTTTTGTTGCAAAGGCTACCTAGAATAACAAAATAAATTTACGTTTCTCCATTAGCTTCCAAATATCTTAGAGTAGAATTGATCTGCATATTTGTGAAGGACTATGCTTTTAAGAAATGATTGTTGAAAATTAAGTCTTTTTTTTTTTTTAAATGACATTTTTTTTTAGCATACTTTTCTGGGAAAAAAAAAAAAAATGAGAGATAAATGATTCCCTGTTGATGGGGGGGGGGTGTTATATAGTTTGTCCTGTGTAAAGTTCCTCTTTTTTTTTCTTTTATTTATTTTTTTTTTTTTTCTTTTAGGCTTTACACCCCCAGGGATGGATAGGTCATCTCCAGACAACAGTCCAGTTCATGGCCTGTTACGTCAACCCTCCATTACAACAGGAGCCAACATCCCTATTATAACAGAGCTAGGTAAGGAAAGCTAATGTTTATCCTTTCATGTACATTCCCATATCTTTTTCCCACTTTCCTTGTTATGCAGTCTCAGGGAAATTACCTGTACTTTATCTTACACTGCCATGTTTTCTCTTTTGATAACTATTTTGAATTACTCTCTCTAAAGAAAGATTAGTAACAGTTGTTTCACTTTATATAACTGAAATATATTTCTCTCTTTCCTTTGGGTTTTCTCCATTTTCTTAAATAAACACTATCAGACAAGATGCTTTTTACACAGTGTAACAAATAAGCAGGGATCTTTGGGCTAAGGTTAGAAAAGAAAAAAAACACAGTAAGTATGAGCAGACATTTCCTGTGCATTTAATCAATAGTAGGAGGCCACTTGTTTATTTCTTCATGGTCCAGAACTGTTTAATCATATGTAACCAAACTCTGTATAATAGTATGAGACATTTTACTCCTGAGAATATGATGATGGTAGGTAACCAGGCTCTGATTTCCACTCTAGCTGTGGGTATTTATGTTGTCAAGTGGTGTGATGTGAAGTGCAGAAGCTGTTCTGTTTTTTTCATGGCAAATACAAACTTGATTTGTGGTCCTTTGTCCTTTTATTTTCTTTTTCAGTTTTATTTTTTAGAGCCTTACCTGTCTTTTTCCCTTACTTTATTCTCTTTCTGTACTTTCTTTTCCCCCTAAATACTTTACTTATTAGCTAAGCCTGGCAAACTTCTGCCTTTGGTTTCAATCAGTCAGGAAAAAAACAGTGGAACCCACATTCTAATGATAACTGAACTGGGTAAGAAGTGCCTTTTTCCTTCACATCACTGTCTTATTTTCTGTTGTTGTTGTTCTTACTGTCATCAGCTTTTCCTTTATTTATCTGGCTGTATCAGAGGGGCTACCCTCATGGCACTGCTTTGAATGTGTTTTATTTGTGGTTCTGGTTGAAATTGACTGTCTTGTTCTGGCCTTTCTTAATGATTTTTTTTTTTTTTTCCACGCAGCATCAGTAAACCTTTGATCACACTCTTCTGACCTGCCGGCTGTTTTCATAGCACCTTCTCACCAATTCATTTTCTTTGGCCTGGGTCCCCACCTCCTGGGCCCTCCATCTCCACCCCAACCCCCTCAATTTTTTTTCTCCTTTTCTCTCTCTCTTTCTCTTTCTTTCTCTTCTTTTTTTTTTTTTTTTTTTTTTTTTTTTTTTTTTTTTTTTTTCCCCAGCCTATTGTCAATTTGCTGGACATCGCTTAGCAGTTCTCACAGGAAAGTCCAAGAAGAAGTAAATGAGATCAGAAAAAAAAGCATCATACTTTTCCTTAAGCTATTTGTTTGTTTATTTTGGGGAGTAGGTCTTTTCTCAGAAGCTCAGGTTTTGAAACTGTGAAAAAGCAGCCAAGCTTCTGCATTGCTCTCTCTCAATAAAGAGAGCTCTCGCCAGCTTTTGTGAGCAGTGTTTGATGAGCATTTCCTACAGCGCAGTACCGCACATTTGAGCTAACCTCACCTAGCCCAGAGACCTTTCATAGAAATCCTAGTGTGCTAACTTGCATCAGGAAGATAAAGATATGGGGGATAAAACCACACTTGCAGAATTCATGTTAGATTTGTAGTACCTTGGAAACTGACACCATGCACGGCTAGAGAGCTAGTGTTAAAGTCAGGTATTAGTCTGCCAGATGTAAGTGAAAAAAGAATGCTACTGTCAATAGTGCCTACTCTCAACTAGCAAATTAAACTAAGGCACAAGCTCTTCAAAAAGTACATTTTGAAATGATACGTCAGGCTTTCAAATACTGTTTTGCTCAAGAATCTGGAGAATAAATTGATAGCCATTGTACAAAAAAAAAGGAGTATTGTGGATATTGGTGTTTTCTAGGATGAAATTCTTCAGGCTACCAGGGCAGAACACTTCTCTGTTTACAGTGCTGATGTGTTATGTTTTCATGGTTACATCACAGAGTGGGAAAGCAAGAATTTTAAATCCTACTTCAGTTCAGGTCCTGACTGAATGATCATGGCCAAGTACTGGCTCCACAGGGCTGTAAATGGAGGATAATGATTCTCATCTCTTTTAGACAATGATTACCTTTATAGTTATGTTTTGTAAGCTAAGTATGGCAAGCACAGTATTATATACAGGTTGGAAAAGGGGTGGATGGAAAACGAAGCTATATAGGACAGAAGATCAGAATAGCAGGCAGAAGAATTTCTAAGCTAAGAAGTCCAGAGCAGAAACCTGATCAAGTCAATGGCATCTCTCATGTTGTTTTCAAAGGTCAGTGGCTTGGCTCAGGAAATGCATTCACATGGAGATTAGGGACGTAGTCAATGTGTGCAGTTTCAAATGCTGAAAAATTTTTTAGTTTCCCTTCCTTGAATGGGAACTGAAATTAATTTGTTGTTTAGTAAGTTAAAGGGTATTTTGATGGTATAGCTAAGCAATCTGTGCTTTCATGCCTGAGGAGGAGTGATACGGAAATGAAGTATTTAATGAAATATAATCCACTTGATACACTGATCTCAAGGAAACAACTATTTTTAGCAGAATGAGAATGAGGTGGAGGCAGAGAGCGTAACTGTGACAATGAAATGCCAGAGGAAGTCTAAATAACAAATACTACTTTATTTGGGCTTTTTCTTTAAAACAGCCCAATGTAGATTCTTTTTCACACTGGCTAAGAAAGAATCTGAGGTGGAGGACATGAAATTATGGAGACAAGTATTTGAACAAAAGACAGTGCTGCAAGAGAATAGCTGGAATATTGCTCATTCATTCAGACAGATGCATGTTAAAAGGACAGTTTATCCTCTTTAGAGCCATAAGTGCATTAACGCCACTCCAGTAAGAATCACAGCAGCACATCTAACAGATGCCTGTGGGCTATATCAGAGTTTTATGTACAGCCTTTATTTTACAATGGGGTTCTGACTTGGTATCTTGTGATAATGTCTCACTGTACGTGCATACAGCCTTAGCCACTGTACCTGACCAATACCAAGATTGTCTCAATATATAAAAGACTATCATGTACGTCATTTTGAGTGCAGGCAGCTGGTCCCATGAAGCTACTTTTACGGCAAAGTGATAGTCACCTCTCAAGAGTGAGAGTGTCACCTCTTACAAGCAAGATAACAACCAACAGATTTTTAAATGCACATTTTCACATCCATCTTGATTTCATTTTCAGTGACGTCAAAGACACAAGTCTGTGTTTCCAGACATATGCCGTTTCTTTTTCTTTCTGTGTAATGTGTAAGGTCATGTGCTGGTGACCCAAAAGCACCTTGTGATTTTATTATTATTATTATTTTCAGTAAATGATTCAAATGTTCAGTTCTTGGACCAAGATGATGATGATGATCCAGACACAGAATTGTATCTCACGCAGCCCTTTGCATGTGGAACCGCATTTGCTGTCAGTGTGCTGGACTCTCTCATGAGCGCAGTAAGCAAACAAAACCTTTTTCATTCCCTTCCATCAGACTTAATGTGAAAGAGTATAAAAGCATAGTCCCTTTTCCACAGGTAGTCAGGAGTAGGCACTTTTCTGTTAGGTGTCAAGAGAATTTCAGAGCCTAACCTAGGTTATTTTTTAGTTGGACACAGAGACCTTAAAACAACTGAGATATCTAGGACTACCATAAGTCCACAATTTTAAAATCAAAGAGTCTCATGTCAGGCTTTAGGGGTAACATTTTGCAAAAAACATATCTCCCTCCTGAAACCTAGACCCAAATTCAGTGTGTCGGTCCCTATGCTCACCGTTCATGTCAGACAGCATCAACCACATTTTAAGCTTTTAATTTCCTGTAGCCATGAACAATGCTCGAGTATGAGCACTGGGGGACACTGATAGAACTATACGAAAGCCATCACGTGAACTCTACTTGTGTGAAGAGAGGTATTCATCTCTTTTTCACATGAGTTGTCTTGTGAATCAAAACATAAGTGCATGCCAGGAACTACAGATGGTGGCCTTTGGTTATGTCTGTATTAGGGTTTTTGGTTTTCAGCCATAGTACAGTTTTGAAGCAAATGCCTTGGTCATAGTCCTTTTCATCCTCCCTTGCTTCATATTGGCTAGTTTTTCAGAATGGTCTTGCTCTGTGGGAGCTGCACTTCTTTCAGAGGGATCTTAAACTTTGCTAGATGTAGCAAGGACGTAGTCTTTTTTAAATCTGAGCGTAGGCTTTCTGATCTCTCCATGGAATAAAGTTACATAGTGCTAGGAATCATCTGGTGTAAACCCCAAGTAATATTAGAAATGAGTGAACGAATTTCCTTAAAGGAGACGAGTCTGACCTTCACCTAAATTCAGAATATAGCTTTTTGCTTTTGAGAAAAATTCACAGTGATCTTTATTATTTAATATTTTATTTGTATTTCATATTTATATATCTGTATTTCATATTTTTATTCCTTGCTATATTCCTCATATGTTCCATCTACAGATGAATAATATCAGTCTACACTGATAAAATTTTATTCTAATGCAGCCTAGGAGTTTGTAGGAATCTCAGAAAATACTTTTTTTGAAAGTTATTGGCCATATTTTGCAGCTGTGACAAATTCAGAAAGCCTAAGCAAGCACACTTCAATTCTGTACCTTCTCTAATTAAAATCTGTATGTATAAAATATTTAGCATTTTCACATTATAAATGGGAATAATTTAACATGAAGGTTTGAAATTGTTATACTGAAAGCTGTTTATCTACTCACATTATTATCTAAATCAATGTCCCTGAAGGAATTGTTCAGTAGGGCAATTCAGGAATCTTGGAAGAATGTAGGGTTAATTCTTCTGATTGCCATTGGCATTGCCACAAAAAGAGAGTGAAATGTTGTGGACACCATTGCTTTCTTGTACAAAGGTATATTATGTAAACAATAGTGAGGCAAATAGAAATATGTGGCACATGAGTGTTCAGAAATTTTTACTTGAAACTCATCGTATAATACAGTAATTTTAATTATTGCTAGCTTTTATCGATGTCTAGTTTTTGACAACATGCCCTTCTGTTTCTGCAATTCTTTTTTTCGACAGAGTCTTTTTTTCAAACATTTTCACATCTAAGTGGTCATATTATATGTCAGGGATAGTGCAGCCTGAAGCCAGAGAAGTAAATGTGATAATAAGAGTAGAAAATTCTAACTTAGAAAAATTACTAATCAAGAAGACAAGTCAAGGATTCAGTCAGTTAGGATTGTTCACCATCCTGGCTTTTCTTTCACCACTTTACTGATTGGTGGGAATGTTATTTTGTCTTTTATTCCTCAAAGGCCTAGTAAAGAGTTGGAAAAGTACAATTCTTCCTGACCCTTCAGAAAGTATAAGATGTATGAGATGTTTTCCCTTTACTATCCCTGTTCTCATGGGAAGGATGTATTTTCCTTTCACTTCTTCTCCAAGCAAAAGAGTGTTTCTCACACAAACTAATCTACTTGCACTACATGATACCTTTTTATTTTTTGCTGGAGTACACTTGTTTTCAGGGACCATCTTGTATTTATTCTGCCTAACTTCAAGCCAGTACCTGCAAACTGAACATAAAATCCTAACTAAATTGTGAGATCTGCAGTCATGCTTTCATCCTATTAATTACACAGGAATTCTGTAAGAAGGAAATAATTCACACTGTGCTAGCCTGTGCCAGCTCACTTTGAGACAAGGATGTAGTTCATTATTGGATCCACATAATGATTCAGGGTTTTTTATTGCTTAATTTTTATAGAAAAAATCCAGTTTTTGATCGCTGTTGATATCTCTGGAATGAAAATTCCTCATATGGTCTACAATACAAACATAGGATTCATTAACTGCTCCATTAAGATTGAATCCCTTCTCACAGTAGTGGGGTTTGGTGATAATATGGGTGTAAGAAAGATTACAAAGTAGAATAATACCCATACTTACAGTATTCTTTCTGACCTATAGGTAATTTGAAACATACATATAAATGTATCTATATAGAAAAAGAGGTAAAAATATATTTAAAATAATTTGCTAAAGTATTTAGTTATTGAATAATGATAATTCAGCAGTATTAATCAGTGTTAAATTATTATTTTCTTTTATATTATTTAATAATATAGTAGTGGGCTAAATCTTACTTATGAATCACAGTCACTTTCTGATTCAAATCTGAATGCTGAAGATCATTATGTTCTGCTCATTTAGTGTTATTTCCTATAAGAAGACAGTATTAGGTATTTTAGATTTGAAGTTGTCTGTTGTTTTCTTATTTCAAAGATAAAAGGCTTAATGACGTTTACTTTTCAAAATGATATCTACAGGCTCTCTACACGCAGTTTGTCCTCTGCTGCAAAGGCAATATATTCCACAAGCCTATGATTCACAGTGTGGTATTTTGAAGATCATTGCTCAGAAGACCATAACGAGCTCAAAAACCGTGTTGTCTTTTTGATGTGTTGGTAGCAGTGGTCTCTCCAGGCTTCGGTTAAAGTGTGTTATTGTATTCTGTGTGAAGACTGTAGGCATGGTTCATGTTTTAAGTGTGGCAGTGGCTATTGTTAAATCATGCCAGCTAATCATTATTATGTTTTTGAAGAGACATATACTGCCATCAGAGACTTGAACGATATATTTGTATTTGTTTTGTTGTAACATATGCAAACCCAGGGAAAGAATATATGTAGTCTATCAGTCTCAAGGTGGCTCTGCTTCTGAAAAGCAAAGCCCATTCTTGTCACCAAATTGAATGTGACTAAAAAACATGAGATTGACAGCATCTTTTAGATAATGTGGATGTTTTCTAAAAAGATTATCTTCAGCTATAAAAAAGTTACATGACACAGGACAGCTTAAGAAAAGCAAATTTTTGAGAAGTACTTTTTCCTTTTCCGGGTCTTGTTGAGATAGTTATTCCAGAAAAACCTGTGCATGCAAGGAAACCAGTTTTATAGACACACAGTACCTTCAGAGGTTAGAACAACTGGCCTGAGAGTCAAAGGTTCTCTGTAGCTTCTTTTGGTGCTGAAGCTATGAGAACCACAGAAGTTCTAGCAGGCTGCATCCCTCCCATACACACTGCTGACAATAGACTTGATATAATGCCCAAGTGGTGCTGTTAGAGTCAAGGATCTCCAGAATCGGATTATACCATTTAACATTCAATATCCTAGGATTTATTTCCTTGTGCTAGAACTTTAGGTCTTGATTGTGGTTCTATAATACTAAATTCTACTTTTTATTCATATAAATGAAAGCACAGAATAGAAGACAGTAGTTAATACAGTTAAAAATAACTTTTCAGTATATCCATTAGTTGAGAGTTTTCCCTCAGGGATCCTTACAGTCTTATTTCTACAGAAAAATAAACTTTTCTAATGTATGATATGGACATTTATGAAATACAAGGCTATTTTTTGTGCAAGTCTGTTTAGGGGATTAGAAAGCAGCATCTTGTAACCTGAAGTGTCCCAAACTTCTTTAAAGTTTGGACAATATTTTGAGAATCAATTGATTTACCAACTTTGAAACTGTTATTTATTTTCTGCTGTTGATTCTGTCTCAAAAGCCCTTTTATTATTGGTATAAGTTACTGATGTTAGCTCAGTCATTCCTTAGGTTTGGATATGTATTCATTCAACAGAATTCCTCCAACCAAAAAAGAAAAGCAAAATATTTGTTTGAAAGCGATGTTTAAAAACTGCATGCAGTGGAGGAGGAGTCTTCTTAAAAGAAATCTATAAAAAAACAGTGGCAAACACAAAAAAAATGGCAGACATGACTTGGAAATTGACAATTTTATAGTAATTATAAATGAAAGGCAGCGTGCTATTAAAATTAAAGCAATGTTATTAAAAGATGTGCTAATTTTCAGTTAAATTTTCTGTAAAAGACCAATTAGTTTAAAAGGCTTGACAGCATTAACTGCAAAACATAAGCACTCTAGTAATTATACTCGAAAAAGTGATTGAACAAATGGGAAAGCATGAAATGTTTGAAAGAGCTGCACGACAATTCTGGAGCATAGGCTAGGTGGCACTGCTAGCTCAGATATCTATGTGAGAATTTCCTTGCTATTTACCCATTTTCAGTGTCTATGATGCATTTCCTCTTTTTTGTGTTTAGACTACACCTATTTCATGTTCTCATTCCTGAAGCTGGTTATAGCAGTGTCATACAGATGTCCAGTGTGGGGTCCAGTTAATGGCAGTAGCAAACTAGTATTTTTTCAGTTATGATTCTACAATCAACAAAAGTGATTCACTGCCATCACTGGAATACGTCTTGTTACTTTTAAGTACAGCAGCACCTTTCCAAAGACATTCTGTAGATCAGTTTCTTATAAGTACTGTCATATCCAGGCCATGTACCCTCCCACAGAGCAAGTAGAAGATCACTCTCAAATTAATTTCAGTGTATTGTTATTCCAAAGGAAATGGATATCAGCTAGTTCAGATTTTCAGTCTCCCCCAGTACCAAACCAGCAAGAGGTAATGAGAGGTGTCTGATTTTTGTGACAATTGGAAACATAGACAGGCAGATTTTTCCTGAGGAGTGTGAAATATATTAGTACAGGAGAAAGCAACCCTGTTTAGCAGAAGGTGACAAGTTACAGCTTCCTATTCAACCATCCTTTCTTGCTTATGGCTGGCCATTTTATGACCAGTTGCAAAGCCAGAGCAGTCTGTCCTGAAAGTTGGATTCTTTTCACTCATTGATGGCAAAAAACACAAAAACCATCACTTGGCTGCACTCATCCATCTGATTAAATGGTGACATCCACATCAGTCATGGTGTGAAACCCAAATTAAGGCATTGTTCCAGGGTAAATGTTGCCTTCTTTGCTAATAAGTGTCTTAGCTTTGCCTTAACATTTGTCTAGCAGTGGGAGGCCTTTTTCCGGTGACAGCATTCTGTTCCAACGACAATAGACCTGATTCTTTTCTCATTTGCATCAGTTTCATAGTAGTGTATGGCTCCCAGAGTTACTCTGGTTGGCACATAAGTCAGAACTGGGCCCATTATGTCTTAATTGCAGTGGGGTTTGTGTATGTGTGTGTATTTTATTTTATTTTATTTTATTTTATTTTATTTTATTTTATTTTATTTTATTTTATTTTATTTTATTTTATTTTATTTTATTTTATTTTATTTTATTTTATTTATTTTATTTGTATTAATGAATTTGTGACAGGTGCCTGACTTGATACATTATTTTACTAACGCTTTCCTTCACCAGTTTAATATGACATCTATAGTAATATGGCCACAGTATAACTTCTTAGTAGGTTGTGCACTAGTGAGATATAACTGAATTTACAATAAGGAGTAACTGTGCAATTGCACAGTACAAAATTCAGATAAGCTAAGAGTATATGTGTTTCAATCTTGCATTTTGGCTATAGTTGCTATAATTTGAATTACAGAATATATAGAGAGATAAAAAATTGGAAACCAGTGAAGGCCGGCCTAATGATACCTCCTAAAGACTAATAAAATCATTCATACAATTTTTTGCATGTTTTACCAATCACTGCAATTCAACAGTCTATAAAAATATTTTACACGAATCAGCATCTATCAGTCTTACAGCAGGTGAACATTTCTTACCATAGTTGGCTGCATTGTAAACCAGACTTGAAAAATCTACCTGTAAAGATATGCTTTACTTTTGTTTCATGTTCTTCTATATTGATTTATACATGTAAAACCGAAAATAGCGTTTTTTAATAATACTAAATATCACTACTTAGAAGAGAAAAAGGAGTCAAAAACACAGAATAAAAGAGTGAGGAAGGCATGAGAAAAGACACTACTGAAGAAAATGGTATGATTCTGTAAAGATGTGTGCTTAAAGTGCTATATAGAATATGTTGAAGCACATTTTTCTGAAGGGGCTTTTCCAGCTTCTACAATTGCAGTGCCTCCAACTTCTAGATCCGGCAGAATTTGACTTTATATCCATGAAACTGATGTCAAATAACATTGCTGCCTAACTGCAGGAGGAAAGGAATTGTGCTGATTATTTCAGTTCTGAGTGGTATATGGTATACACTGTCAAAGTCTAAGAAAATAGACTAAACTTAATGCCAATTTTTTTGTTCTGAGTACTTCCATGCTGGAAAAGTGTAGCACAGTGGGAAGAGTTGCCAAAGAGGACAACTCTGATTCTCAGGAAGAAGTAATTGAAGAATAAACAATCATGCCTGAATGTTTTCTCTGTCACTACAGCAATTCCTACTAAACATCATGTAATTACTCCAGACTTACATTCCTGCAAGGGATCACATTGATTTTTCTATATGTTAAGAGAGGTTTGAGTGCATCCACATATATAAGAGCTCATGTGAGATTAGCTGTTGTTTTAGACTAACTGAATCTTCCTAAACCCCTGCTAATGTCAGACAACTCTTTCCAGTACCCTTTGTATTTAAAATGTGTAGTGCCTTACCTGGGCTAATTTAAAATAATTGGAGTTAATGAGATGCAAATATTTGCTTTAGGGCATGTATAACAATAACAATATGTTCCTCTCATTTTAACTTAATCAACAGGTGAATGACATAATATACCTATGTAAATAAGCAAAGAAGCCTGAAGTTATGAAACTTCAGTGTAACAGTGAAAAATGCTGCTGCGTAGAATTCATTTTCTTTTGTTTTATCTGTCATCTCAAGTGAACAATGAAACTGAAGTTTCATTATACAAAGAAAGAATATCAAAGTAACATGGATAGAAGCCAGTTCTGCTTTTTGATCTCAGGATAAAATATTTCAACCTGTACCTCAGTTTATCCATGTATTAAATACAATTACATTATATTGATAGAGCAATGAATTTAATTTAAAAGTATTATTTAAAAAGTATTACCTTTGGACAACAAGCACTGTTTGAAAATTCAGTATTCATTTTCACTTGGTTGGATTACAGACATTTGTTCCAAGTCCTAAATTCAACAAAAGTCACAAATCTAGTAATGGAATTCACATATCCAGTAATGTCAATCCTGTGTACTGTACAGTGAGCTCATTTTCTTCTCGTATGTCCCCCACACTTGCAGAGCTTCTGAAAACACAGACATTAGTGACACTGTAAGTGATGGTGTCTCTTATTTTTGTTCAGCATTATTTTTTGCCCAGTACATTGCGTTGGAGATATTTAACGAGTATCTCTAAACTATACCAGTATACTTTTAAGTGAACTTGAAAGTCATTCATCTGACATTAAATTAATATTTAAAGTACCCATTGTTTGTCTGACAGACCAGCAATGCTACAGATGCTGGCAAAACGTCAGTGTGGAGTAAATCTTCCCTAATAAACCACACTTACCCTATACCCTAGAGTTTTTTAAAAGGACCACCAGGATCCCAAACTCATCATACATTTATCTGGAATGAACTCAAGATGTTTAATTGATACATGCTTATGTCTGAACACTGTCAAGTCTCGTAATAAGATGTTTAGTACAATACATCGGTTAGACTGTTAGAGTCCAGCCACAGTAATAAGTAATGACATTTGCAGCACAAAGGCAGCTCCCCAACGAATTGGTGACAAGAGTAGAAAGGCAATCTAGCCGGTGTAAGCTTTAAATGTGGTCTGAATTTTACAATTACATGTCTTAAAGCCCGTTATTAGACATGAAGGCAATGAGAAGGAAAGCAGTCATTGCATCACTACTAACACCAATTATAGGAAACATAAATCATTCAGATTTTTATACTTTAATAAAAATCAGCCTGATTTGGTGTTTAAAATGAAGGATCTAGTATAGGAGCCTAATGGGATAGAATAAAATAGAGTAATTGGAGGCTGCTGTCTTTTCACTTCCTATATAAAATTATTTGAAGAGACAGCCAAGAACTTTAAACAGCAGAAACCCAGAAAAGTTGTAATTTGGATGTCTTCAGTTGTGACTTTAATGGTGTTTGCTTAAAGAGCTTTCTTTTATCTCTGCAGACATACTTCAATGACAATATCCTCACACTGATACGGACGTTGGTAACAGGAGGAGCCACACCAGAGCTGGAAGCACTGATTGCTGAGGAAAATGCACTGAGAGGAGGTTACAGCACACCCCAGACACTTGCAAACAGGGACAGGTGTCGAGTTGCTCAGTTGGCTTTGTATGACGGGCCATTTGCAGACCTAGGGGTAAGATCATGAGGGAAACGTAGGACCAAGGCTGGTCTGCAATTTATTTCTTTTCCTCAGACTGAATCAAAAATCTATCTTAATTAGAATATTATTTCCATTCTTTAATTTAATAGAGCTTTTAGATCATTTGCCTATTTAGAGCATAGGGTGCCAGGTTTACACTTATCCTTTTCAAGAAGCTATATGGCTTCTCAGACTCCATGCCTGGATATTTCATACAGAAAACCCTGTGGCTCTTCATAGCTGTCAGCTAAAGAGGTGGATGAACTGACTTGGATGGTATAACCATTCTAACTATAATCTGTTGTAAACATGAGCAATATCTATGCCTTTGCTGGGTTTTGATAAGCCTATTTTGTCTTCCCATGGTGCTTCCAGTTCTTGTTTAAAATATGCTTATTAGCTTGAAAACAAAGCTATAAGGTTTTTTTTCTCTGTTTCTGGACGAACTAAAATTCCTGGGAAATCCTAATTTTCTGACATTTTGACTCCACTATCCTAAGAGTGAAGTAAAAAAAAAACAAAAAACAAAAAACAAACCAAAACAATATAAAACCCAAAACCAAATAAACAAACCATCTTTAAAAAAAAAACAGTGTATTTGGATCAAGGAGTATCCAGAAGCATTTTCTGGACCAAATCTTGTAATGTTGAGGCAAATCCCAAAGCACCCACTTCACATTGATGATGATGTAGGATTTGATATTTCTTAAATTAACCTTGCGTTCACCAGCTCTGTTCAAAAAGAATGGAGCAACCTTCTTCACAGAAATGACAGGGAATCCCAGTTAAAGGATTAAGGGTGATAAAAGTACAAAGTAAACAGCCTTTCAGTTCATGTAGGAATCTATTCACAGCTGAGAGTAACAGCTCATCAAAACACTCGGGCATGTGGCATAACATTTTCACAACTAAAACATGCAATACCAATCCTTCAAATGCTATTTTGCCAGTGCAATTACACCACATCAGCGAAGGTAGAATGCATTAACACTCATCATTACTTAAGAATCAATATTTTAGATACACAGACTATCAAATCTAAACTTTTTTTTCTAATCAAAATATTTTATATTATTTATGAAAAATGGCATATGTTTCATCATTATTTTAAAGCAGGAGATACTTTATTATCCTTTTAACCACTCCACTCAGAACTCTAATTTCTCTTGTGCTCACTAGTGAATTTATTTGTATAGATGACAGCATGGCTACTGTCAAAAAAGGGTCAAAAATGCTAGCAATTTCAATACCACGGTTAATGTAATTTGTAGAATATACATTGTTGAGTACCAAAATATATCTTTCCAACTTAAAGCATGTCACTCATTTTTCCCAATTTACCATCATTTCATGGACCAAAGCTCTCCAAAATAATGATCAAATTACATAATTATTTATTTGAAATAAAACATTTAGGTTAATAAATTCCTTGGGTAAAAAATTCTTGTTCGTGACACGCACTGTCTATACATTGTCCTTTTTGTACAGGCTCATACTGAAAATCGTGTTCCCTGACATTATGTTAACAGAGAAAAGAAAGGGAAAAAAATGTGCTGTTCTTTTTTTTTTTTTTCCCCCTTCTCCTTTCTTTCTCCTAGGATGGAGGTTGTTATGGAGATCTATTTTGTAAAGCACTGAAAACATACAATATGCTTTGCTTTGGAATTTATCGATTAAGAGATGCACACCTAAGTACTCCGAGCCAATGCACTAAACGGTAAGTCCAATCTTTTAGAACACTATTCTTCAATCTTCTCAGCGAGGAAGATCCCAGTGACTGTAATAAAACTAAAAAAAGAGCTTTCTCCATCTTTTACATAACTTTGCCACAAAAGCTAACTCTTTGAGGACCTCATGATGACTCTTTAGCTGAGTTTAAATCACAGGCTGGATATAATAGCATAAGTTTTCAGCTAATTTTAATAAAAAATTTTTAAAGTAAATTTACAGAACATATCTATATCGTCTTTGATTTATGATGATCCACTGCTTCCATACAAGGAAAGGACTTCTGTTTGCTTATAAAAATCAGCTGTAAGTTACTGGATAATAATTTAGATTTCAGTAGCTAGACATTCTTTCTGAATGCTCAGAAAATACTCCTGTGGGCTTCCCATTGGTTCTATCTGTATCTAATCATAATTTCTTTCAGTAAATGCAAACACTTCTCTTGGTAGGCTGCATTTTTACTTCAGTAGCACCAAGGCTGACCCCGGTGGTTTTAATAAAGCAGACACATTGCCATCTTTGCAAACTGAAGGCCATTTAGCAGCTTACTTGAAATGTGTCTTAATTAAGTGCCTACTAGAAATACACACACAGACCCATACCGGAACTATCATAAATCTACCATTGGTTACTGTTTTATTCCTTACAAAAAACATCATTATTGGATGAAGATGGCAATAAACAACCCTGCAGCCCACCAGGACAGTTTTTTCTGTAAGGATTCGGACAAATTGGGTAGAAAAAATGATTTTCAGGTTAGATTTACACTGTACTTTCTATACTTGGGATTTTTTGCTGGATTAATAAGTGACTTCTGTCCCTGAGGCAGCTAAACCAGATTTCTTATGAGCACTGAATTAATTTAAGAAGTTGTGAGCTTCGTGATCAATTTTTACTCATTTCTTGCTTGGACAGAAAATGCCTATTGCCTTTCTGAAATATGTTTTGTCACATACATGAAAAAATTTAACAGCAGGGTCTATAAGCCCTTCCTATCCTGAAAACGGGTTAGTTGAAGGTGGAGATTCTTGAAATTGATAGAGTTTTTATTTCAGGCCTGGGATGTATACTTAGCAATGATGGAATATACATGTGGAATGAATGAACAAAATTAATGTCACTGCAAATTTTCTGTTATATTTTATTTAACTTACTCTATGTACAGTCACAATCCAAACAAATAATTATATCCCTTACTCTATTGGCAGTATTTAAATATCTGATAAATATATAGTAAATATGTATTTAAATATAACTGAACCTAAAGTCCTCCTCTCCCTGCTTTTCAGCCATTTTTTAAAATACCATTGCTGATGGGTATATTACTGGGTTTTGTCAATATGTAAATCTGTTTGCTAGAGTCATTGCATTACAGTGCAGCTAGAGAAAGGAAGGTGATTTGTATAGTGTCTTTGAAAAATCATGACATGATTCACTTGAAGAATGTCCTGCTTAGCCAGTATGTCTATGCAACAGAAAATATACAAAAAGTGATGTCTGATAGAAGAAGGTCCTAAATCATAATGGGTATTATGTGAGCTAAAGTTAGGTACACACTGAAGGAAACAGAAATGCAAAGTTCTGGGTAAATGTTCATGAGATAAAAGCTCTAAAAGAATTTTTTTAGTGCAAATCTAAATCTGCTTTCTCCTTCTTTCTTTCTTTCTTTCTTTTTTTTCTTTCTTTCTTCCTTTCTCTCCAGTTATGTTATCACAAACCCACCATATGAATTTGAGCTTGTGCCGACAGACTTGATCTTCTGTTTGATGCAATTTGACCACAACGCTGGCCAGTCCAGGGCCAGTCTTTCTCATTCCTCCCATTCCTCCTATTCTTCCAGCAAGAAGAGCTCATCAGTTCACTCCATCCCATCAACAGCAAACCGACCGAACCGCACCAAGACCAGGGATTCCCGGGAAAAACAGAAGTATGTGCAGGAAGATAGACTTTGATATGTGTACCTGCTCCCACTGTGTGTGAAATTTGCATTCACCACTCATTCTCCCCAGTTAATGTTTCCAGCAGTAATGTACCCTGTTTTCCCATGGAGTTCTCCCTTTTTGTACACATATTTTGCATATGTATGACAGTGTGCATGTGATTGTCATTTTTATTTCACCACCATAAAACCCTTAAGCACAACAGCAACAAAGCAGACGGACCAAAAGTTATTTATGATGCTAGGGGAGAAAAAAAATTCTAAACCCATAGGCACACTGAAAACATAAATAACTCACTGCAGTTACTCTACATATCAGAAAACAGAGTATATTTAATATGAACACTTGCCCTTCATGTCAGAGTAACACAAAGAAAGTCATTTAGTGCAGAAGTGTTGATGTATGTTATGGTAGGGTTTTTTATATTCATAGTTACAGGAGTTGCTACATTTATTTGAAGTTTATAAAACTAAACCATTGAACAACAACAAAAAAAAATCCCCCCAAAAAAATCCCTACTGATTTTTCACTCTCAAAGCTTATATTGTATAGGGCTTACACTCTTTGTATAGATTATTGCTACACACCTGCTTTATACCAAAGCAACATCAGGGACTTTTCTGCTTGTTTAAGGACTTTCTTTAAAATACTAACCTTTTGGAGATAGCATCTTGTCCCTTTAACGCTGAAATTGTCTTGGCATGGAGTTGTAAAACTTCAATGGTTTAATTTAAGTTTAGAAAAAACCTAATTGCATATTAAATTATTATTCTGTCTATTTATACTGCCACATGAATAGCTATATTTTCTTTCACTTTTGACATTTGGGATAAAAAGCCATATGTATCATAAATATTGGATGTAAGTCATTAAAAACTGCCTTCCTGGGACTTTTACGTCTCTAAAAGGTGAATTAGTCACCTTATGTACAGAATAAATAATGTTCAGAAAAGAGCAAGCATTTTTCTATGTTTAAGTATCAGATCTCGGGGGACTTTGTTCCTTTCCCCAGATGGTAGTTTAACTTTTCCAAGTTAGAGTGCTGATATAAATCTTCCAATAAGGGTCCTAATATGCGAAGATCCTTCAGAAATCCTGCTCCATGTTCTAGCTGGTTCTTTTCAACAGGTGTGTGCCAGTACCCAGGAATACAGGGGAAGGCAGCTGAGTACCTTTAAGGTCTCTCCCAGTCGTGAAGAAAAGGTGCTGTGCCCTAGACAGCTAAAGAGCAGAGAAAAAGGGCTGCGGTAGAAATATTCACTGTGCTGAGGCATCATGTTCTAGGAACTTGCCAGACTTTGGTTCTTGCAGATTCTCACCAAAGACACACCTACCCAAACAAAAATGGTGGCAGGGAGTTACATATAGTGGAAAGGAACCTATCCTAGATGGCAATAGAAATGATACTTCAACCTTGGTTTTTTAATTTCAAATAGCAACCTTTTGAAATATAGAAATAGTTCTAGGTGGTATGAAGACTTTTTCAGGGTAGGGAGGCCAAAACCAAATACCACTTTCCTTGACTACCCAGCAAGAAAGCATGCAGACAGAAAATAAATATTTGGATGTGGGAGTGATTAGCATTGTAACTGCCAACCGAGACAAGGTGCTTTTATGGTTAGTGTTGTTTTCTACCTTCCCCTTCCCCAAGCATGATAATTTTGAAGATTTGCTTGCTGTGTGAATTGACAATGAAGCCAAGCACTTTTACTGACAAAACCTGAAACCATATAAGTGGGCTACAGAGAGTACCACTGTGCAGTGTTAAGCATAATGATTGGAATACAGTATATGTGTGCATTCAAATGCAGCTGTAAGTCCTCAGTGAAATACGTTGCAAATTATGGATGCTCCCCTACAAATGAGTCTATTACAGTTGCTCTTCATCATAAAGACAAATTCACGTGTTTCTTTTTGCAAAGAAAGTTATCATGTTTTGCCCTAAGAATATTTATTACTACAAGGATGTGCCAGTTAAAGTGCTCAACAGGAAATATGACAGTTTAAAAGCATTGTAAAACTTACATAGCTTACTTCTTTTTCTAAAGTGCAACAAGGATGAATAGAATGGGCCAAGGTATGACAATTAATGGTTCTGCATGACCTAGCAACTGCTGTGGGTTTCCTTCTATAACTTTGTCCTTGTGAAAACTTGTGAAATTAAAAAAAAAAAAAAAAAAGTTACAAACTTTATTCAGTTATTGGTTTGTTTGGTTGGTTGGTTGTTTTGTTGGTTTTCTTTTGCCTTTTTTTTTTTTTCCCTCCAAACCAGAAGTAAAACTGGCTGCTGCTGCTGCTGCTGCTGTTGCTCAACCCTGTTTTATTTTTTACCCTCTCATCTGCTTGCCTTTCTAATTGCACGTGTCCTTTTGTAAACATCTAGGTTCCTGCTCAATGAAGATGCCTATCCTGGTGCAGATATTACTTTAATTTCCCATTCCTCATTCCATTTCCTTACTTCCTTTCCCCTCCCTACTCCCCTGTCCCCCATGTATGTTCATGAGCATCTTTTTATGTTGGCAATATTGACTGAAGAGCAGTTACGCATTTTGGAAGAAAGTTAATGGCTTTGACACCAAAATGCTTTTCCACTAATGTTTTATCTGTTTTCCATTTACCAGAGGAAGGAAGGGTGTTAATATGAAGCCACTTGTCACATACTACGTAATGATTTTTATCCAAAAAAATAGTACTTGTATAACTGTGCAGCTCAAATAGAAAAAATATAAGCAGTGTACGTTAGAGAAGCAACATGTCTACTTTGTGATGAACAGAAGAGGAATATCTAATATGGATGCATATATGGATATACTAATGAAGTTAGGAGGTAGAGGAATGCTTAAATCAACTATGTTATCTTGTCAAAATTGTTTATATTGAAAAGTAACAAGAAATCTCCAGTTTGTTCAGAAACTTATCCCAAGTCAAATATTCTTAGTAACTGTCCTGGTTTGTTTTTGAAAGAGGAAAAGCAGCACCAATGAGCTGCTTTAGAGCTTTAAATGGAGGTCCTGCCACTTACATCAGTCCCAGCATTGTTTCAATAATGGAACTAGGTTCTTAGTAACTTTGTTGATCTGAGTGTTGATACAAAATCACATATAGCAAATCTGCAGGTTCTTGGCATGGGTTCCCACAAGTGTAAACTGGCAGTCAGGCATTTTCCAGTGAAATTCCCATTGTCAAAAGTAAGAATTTTGCTTGTTTAAAAAATAAAAAATCAACAAGATCAAGTCCATAATAGCGTTTTTTTCCCAAAACTTTAGTTACCTTGGAGGAGAATAAAGACTATCACAGAAAGTAAGAATAGTTTCTTCCCTCTCTCTCTGCAAATTACTTACTGCCTGCTACATGTAAAATATTCATCTGCTAAACAAAGAATTGCTGAGTAGGTGGGTGGAGAAACTTTCATTACTTTTTTGTCATACTGGAAGAAATTGCATAGCAGAATTTTCAGCTTCACTATAAACAAGCTGCCTGTGTGGAGAGGAAGAGTCACACAAACACATACATACAGACTCGTTTGAAACTGAAAGTGTCACAAAAGAAAAAAAATGTTTAAAACAATTGTAAAGTAATCTGGGATTATGGTGAGACTAGAGATTTGTGTCATGCTTAGCTAGGGCTTTCTTTGCCTCTGCTCAGACTAGAGGGTATTTCACAGTGACATATATTCAAATGTGATTACTTTGTCCAAAGTTAATGACAGAAATTTTAAAGCACCAGAACTATAAATCTGTTGGAGAGAATTGATAGCCTTACACAAGTTGAAGAAATCTGTATTTTGATCATTTTACTTTAGTTATTTATATATTTTTATGCTGCAGGGAACAGTTTTACACAAGACGTTAATTTTTATTTATTTGTAATAAGAGCATGAAGCCTTTAGAACCTTCATGGATGCACGGGGATGCTCATAGCCCATTGCAAACAAAGGTGTTTGAGAGGAAAGCAAACGTTTTCAGCTTTCTGATACATGAAGTTACTGAGCTGTTCCAACATGTCTCAGGTTATGCTGTCAAAAACGAACCTGTCAAATAGTGTAGGAAGATCAGGGACTCTGTTGAATAGCTCTTAAAAAAAAATAAAATAGAAAACTATGCCTGTTCTCACTGCAATGTAGAAATACATACGGTAAGGCTCAATATGCATATGCCAAAAAGGAAGAGAAACAGACTAACATGACAGAGAACTAAAAAAAAATTGGTGAACAGTATATAAAGACTTAAAAAAGGGTTTTATGGACTGATTTAAAGGAAAGAGTAAGTTGTTTAAGGCACGTAAATATTTGTACTAAGAATTTGAAAGACATATCAAAGTCAGACTGTGAGCATAACAAAAAAAGATTGAAAAGTGTGTAAGGGATTCAAGAAGGACATTTAGTAACTGGGAGCAGAATATCTTAGTGACCAAGAGTAAAAATGAGGAGTGTCAAGCCTACATTTGAAAGGTAAGTACAGAGGTTGATGGACTTTCACAGGAGATTCATCATTATGTGGTAAAAAACGATTTTAACAACAGAAAAGGAACAGGAAAGGTATAATGCTGGGTCCAAACATTTGATGCTGAGGATGATAATGCCTGGATCAAGTTTTCAGCACTGGCAGAAAGTAATTAGAATCTACCAGTTTCTGCATTTATTATTTATTTTCTGCATTTATTATTTGCCAGGTAAAGGCAAAAATGGACTTGATGGCATTTTTCTAAAGATCAGCTCTGTGGATGAGTTTTATTCTAAGGACTAACATATAAATTATTGCCTTGTTTTTAAAATTCCAGGGAAACCAAGGGAGATAGAAGTGCTTTACACTGGCTGCTGAGAAACAGTGCAATTCATCCCTGATCCTTAGCACTCACACAGTTCTCCCCTTTCTTTCTACGAGATTGAATTAACTTGCATGAAGTTCTGTTTGCAAGGAAAGTTTGTGCACCATATGTTAAGAAAAAAGGTAGAGATAGAAGTTCACAGTGCTTAACTTGCCTCAGAATCATTTTAAACACAAACCATTAGAAAACTGTTAGTATGAAATTGTTTATGTGATCCTGCAAGGCTTTTAAAACATGATAACCATCACACTTTACACCTCTCTGAAAGGTTAGTTTAATCATAGATCACATAAAATTGGTTTCCACAAATGCATAATGGTTCATGTGTCACACTTGAACTAAATGGTTTTTTAAATGGAGCTGAAATTATTTTGATGTGTACACATTCCCATATTTTTTTTTTCTACAACCTTTCTTAAACCAGCCCCCATCAGGAACCATTCCCTTAAAGTCTCATTAATAATTCAGATGTTCTGATGACTTTAAAAGATCTATGGAATTGAAGCTTCTTTTTTTTTTTTTTTTTTTTTTCTTTTTTTTTTTTTTAAACTCCTTGACAAAAAGATAAATGAATGTAGAAAGAAGCAGTAGGAGTCTGGCAAGCTGTAGATCATCTCTGAACAGATTGTAACTTTATCATTCTGTCAGGAAGAATAATTTAAAGCACTTAATCAGTTAGCTTCAGTGTGCAGGATGTAACATTATGAATTCCTATCGTCCAATCTGTTCAAATCAAAGGGAACTTAATTATAATAGGTAAGAGAGAGAGAGAGATGGGAGATTGAGCATTGTTCAGACTTGGGCAACTTTAAGGGGGCAGGGAACTCTTTACCCTGATCACAAATGAGTAGGATATTTTAAAATGAAGTAAAATACATTTTAGAAAATTACAACAAAGTAGTTCTGTTTACCTTCTGTAATAAGCCACTAACAATTAATGCAATTCACTTTTTTCAATTTAAATTTCTTAAAATGCAAATGCACAGATAACAAGTATATCTGAAAAAAAGGGATGGATTAAATCCTCATGAGTTTGGGGTTTGTTGTTGGGGGGGGGTGGTGGTGCTGCATGTAGATGCTTAAAATCCATATCAGGTATAAGTGTTTCCAATTCATACAAAAGTGATTGAGAAGTCTAGAAATTCTGGAAATCAATCCACTTCTTTAGAGGCCCTAACCTCAAACCTTGTTGCTTATTTTTATGTATTTTTGCCCAGATATTTGCCCTTTATGCTTCCTGGTTTTCCAGTTTCTATTTTCTCGTTCACCTCCTGAGCTTTTGTGCTCGATCCTTGGGTTTCCAAGTTGGATTTTGCTTTGCTTATTTTTATTTTTTTATTTATTTAAAATGAACACTCCTTCCACTTGTGCCCTGATTCCAGCCAAAATACAGCAGCATTTCAGTGGTAAACAAAAGTGGCAGTTTAAATTTATGTATGAGCCACTAAATTTTCCAAAGCATTTTGGGTTCCCCATTGGAATGAGACGTAGTACATATATGTAAGAGCAGGAGCTCTGATGTGGCACACAGTAAACCTTGCGTATAATAATGAAAATGTCCCAGTTGCAGAATTCCATCCCCAGAACCATTTGTGCCCACTGCTCTGCACAACCACCTCTGGAATTTGTGGAAGGAGTGTGAGAATGGAGACTCCTGTTCACAAATACTAGTCAAAGGACAAACATCTAATGACCATAAGCCACTCAAAGTCTGGGAGTTTCTAAGACTCTGAATGGAGTTATCTTGTAAGGCTGCACCCTTGTAGTTAAGAAATTACAGCAGAAATTTCTCTCTAAATGGCTTAAGAAGATTATTTTGATTTTTTTTCCTTTTGTGAATTTTGAGAAGTTTTTTTCCACATATGAACTATGCAATATAGTCGGCTAAGGAATGGCTGCAATGCTGCAGACTCTCAGCATGCTCACTCCCTCACACATTACTCCCAACCCACCTTAAATCAGTACCATAAAATTCCTCCTATGTTCATGGAAAGAGACACTGCCCAAAGATATAAAAGGAACAGCTTCCCCTCTAATATTTCTTTAAGTCCTTGCTTCCTTTGCCTTGCTGTCACATATCACAACCAATCCACACAGTATTAACTTGAGTCCATACTACAGTCATTTGCAGCATCAGGTATGTTCCATACCCCTTCCCAAACTGGAGAGGTCAGCAGCACCCAAGCAGCCAGGTTGCTAAGTAGCAGTATAATGGCCACCCTGTGCAGAAATGCAGCCATCTGGCGTGAC